ACCCTCGAAGACATAATAAAATCAACAGATTGGGAAAACAGAGGAATATGTATTAACGGAAAATACCTAAATCACCTTAGATATGCGGATGATATACTCCTGATCTCCTCGGAACGACAAGAACTGGAATTAATGCTGAATGAACTTTATGAAAAATCACTGCAAAAAGGCCTAAAAATTAACTTAACTTAAGACCAAGAGGCAATAAAAATAAAAACAGAAAAAATAGAACAGGTAAATGAGTATATCTATCTAGGACAAGCGATCAGAGCTAACAGAGAAAATCAAACAGCCGAAATATCGAGACGAGTAAGAATGGGATGGGCAGCGTTCGGCAAACTTTCTTAAGTTCTAAAAAATCAAACAATCCCTCTATACTTACGAAGCAAGGTATATAACTCCTGTATAATACCGGTCCTCACCTACGGAGCACAAACATGGACATTTACACAGGCCAATTTGGATAGGATAAGGAAGGCACAAAGAGCGATGGAGAGACAAATGTTGGGTGTATCACTTGGAGACACAATGAACGGAACAATGCCATCGGAAAGTGGCGTCCATACAATGCAAAGAGATCAAGAGGCAGACCACAGATGAGGTGGAAAGATGACATCAGGAAACAAGGAGGTCCCACATGGCAGAGAACAGCTCAAGATAGGGAAAGATGGAGAGAACTGGGGGAGACCTATATCCAACAATGAAAGGATAGAGAATAGGTTAAAAAAAATCACCTTTTTACTGAATATGGTATGCAGTAGTAAAAATTGTTGTCTGGCATAATAATATATGTGGACTTACACTTTGTTTTACATGCAACAGAACTTTGATTTTATGGAAGTAAGCAGCGATATATTGTTTTATTTGAAAATAAAAAGTTGGTCAGGTGTAACTTATTTGTTTATTACACAAATTATCTGCTGAATGGTAAGTCGTATCATTTATTGGGTTTTACCTGTATGTAGAGCGGAAAAAGCTGAGAATGTTGGAATACTTAACTCAATATTTTAAAATTTGTCATTTACCTGATTTTCGCAGTATACCGACGATATTTTTAGATTTCAAGTAATCAACTTAAAATAATAAGATATTAGCTGTAATATTTCCAGAAATGCAGAAAACATATAGATTTTATTAAATTTTTAGTAAATTTGCTACAAAAGTCTTTCTATAGTTCCAACTTATAGACTCATATTGTATACAGTAGGCGAAAGAGATATTAATATTAGCAAGGAAATCAATGAAAACAGCTATTTATAAATTATTCATATTAACAATACATGTATGTAACGTATTTTCATTTTTAATATTTCCTTAAACTTTCTTAAAAAATGTAGCCCTTAATTCATTTTATTAAAATATAGAATGTACAAGAAAATATTCTCAAATATTTCAAGCAACGTTCTCAATGTATGCTAATAATTTTTTCCCTTATTTAATTTACGACTGAAGGAAACCCAAATAAATAAAATTTCAAAAAGGATGTAACAAAAAGGAAAGGACATTGTAAACAGATACCCTCCCAAAAATATTATATCAATACTGGTTATATATAAGAGGTCAACAGTTAAGTTTTGGAATAGGCAAATAAAAAATATTTATTATTAAAAAATATTTTCGATATAGCCCATACTAATTTTGTGCATAGATATTCTTAGTTTTATTTACAAAAAGGAAAAACGTGATGAATGTCTTTCACTATCTACATTATCTTACTCTCTAACAACTAAAGTAGGAGAAAGTAACTAGAAATAGAGAAGTTCATCTTATTTTTGTAGATCTTACCATGTTTTGGCAGAATGTGTTAAGAATTGGTGAGTGTGGAAATAATTTCCATGCAGCGGAACGTCTTTTTAATGAGAGGTGCCCCGGTTGCCCTACATTGAGCGCTTATTTGAGAAAGCTTCTTCGGAAGTTTTAACAAACAGGTAGTGTTCAAGGTGTGAAACGATCTGGTCGACCAACAATTAGTGATGCCAAAAAAATAGACATATTTTCAGAAATAATAATGAACCCTACTTCTTCTACAGCCGAAGTTGCATATATCTATGGAATCAGTCAAACAACAGCACACCGACTGTTGGCTGAAAACAAATTTTATCCATACAAAATTTTAGTGACGAAAGTACTTTTTGTCTTAATGGAAATGTTAACACACACAATGTGAGGTATTGGAGTGACACAAATCCTCGCGTCTTTCGTGAAACACATACTCAATTTCCAAAAAAAAAAGAATGTTTGGGCAGATATTTTGGGAAACCACATAGTGAGGCCTGTTTTTCTCAATACTAACTTAACCGGTGAAACGCAATTGAACCGTTTATATTTAAAATTCTGGAGAATAATCCAGATGAATTTGGTAACTTGGAAATAACGTTTCACAAGATGGTGCAGTAAGACGTTACCTAGAAGATAAATATCGTGGTAGATGGATTGGACGATGAGGTACAGCTGGGTCACCGGACCTCACACTATTAGATATTTTTCTGTAAGGATACTTGAAAAGTTTACGCTACAGCACCTGACAATATTGACATTTTGATACAACAATATGTTAAAGAAAATTAGGGCAATTTCTCCCGATACACTTGAACAAGTACGGCAAGAGTTTAGAAATAGGACTATCAGGAAGTAGATTGAGTTCATTTTAAACATTTACAATTAGAAGTGGCTGTTAAATATTTATTAATATAAATATAGACGTCATCAAAATAACAAGTACGTCGATCGGCTTCACTGGATCAAACCTGCCACGCCCTATATGGACAAAATTAAATCGCATACGCACGGGTCATGGCAAATGTGCCGATTCTCTATACCGATGGGGTCATGCAGAAAGCCCACAATGTGATTGTGGATCCCCGAGACAGACCATCCAACATATCATGGCGGATTGCCCAATTCGCAGATACAGCGGAGACCTTCAAGATTTTGCAGAGTGTTCTCCTGGTGCAATTGAATGGCTGTGCAACTTGGACATTAATATTTAATAATTAACTTAGGTTACAATTCCAATTTGAACATAATTATTATCTAAATACTACTTTTATCGTATTGTAATTATCCATACGCTAAATAAATAAATATTTATTAATTAAATGAGATGCTACAATTTTAATATTTATTTAATTTATTAATATTATTGAGCTTAAGTCAAACAAAATTATTATGACTGAATAGGTATTTTCAATACCTTTCAAACGAGGTATGACTTGCTATAAGGTCCTATTTAAAATTATCTGTCAGAGTGGCGCTGTAACGTCATCTGTCAATTCAGGAGTAACTCAATTTATATTCCGCTACACAAAAAAGGAACTACTATCAGATGTGAAAACTATCGCTGTTACTAATAACACATGCTAGTAAAATCTTGTTGCATATCTTCAAAAACAGATTAAAAACCTTTCTATCTATCTATCTATCTATCTATCTATCTATCTATCTATCTATCTATCTATCTATCTATCTATCTATCTATCTATCTATCTATCTATCTATCTATCTATCTATCTATCTATCTATCTATCTATCTATCTATCTATCTATCTATCTATCTATCTATCTATCTATCTATCTATCTATCTATCTATCTATCTATCTATCTATCTATCTATCTATCTATCTATCTATCTATCTATCTATCTATCTATCTATCTATCTATCTATCTATCTATCTATCTATCTATCTATCTATCTATCTATCTATCTATCTATCTATCTATCTATCTATCTATCTATCTATCTATCTATCTATCTATCTATCTATCTATCTATCTATCTATCTATCTATCTATCTATCTATCTATCTATCTGTCTATCTATCTATCTATCTATCTATCTATCTATCTATCTATCTATCTATCTATCTATCTATCTATCTATCTATCTATCTATCTATCTATCTATCTATCTATCTATCTATCTATCTATCTATCTATCTATCTATCTATCTATCTATCTATCTATCTATCTATCTATCTATCTATCTATCTATCTATCTAATTAGCATTCTTTGTTCCATATTTGAGCATAGGCCTCCCCAATCCTTTTCCATTCTTCTCCGTCTGTCGCCTTAGTCATCTACCTAAAGCCCACGTGCTTCTTGATATCATCTGCCAATCTCATTTGGGGCCTTCCTCTGCTTCAGCTTATATTCCCTCGGTCTCCAACTTATAAGAATTTTGTTCCATCGGTCTTCTTTTTGTCTTATATTGTGTTTGGCGAATCTCCATTTCAATTTTGCAACTTCTTGTATAACATCCCTCTCTTTTAGTTTTTCTCTTATCCACTCGTTCCTCTTTTTATCCATTAGTCTTATGTGAAACATTTGTTTTTTCATTGCTTTTTATAAGACAAAAAGAAGACCGATGGAACAAAATTCTTATAAGTTGGAGACCGAGGGAATATAAGCCGAAGCAGAGGAAGGCCCCAAATGAGATTGGCAGATGATATCAAGAAGCACGTGGGCTTTAGGTAGATGACTAAGGCGACAGGCGGAGAAGAATGGAAAAGGATTGGGGAGGCCTATGCTCAAATATGGAACAAAGAATGCTAATTAGATAGATATATAGATAGATAGATATAATATATAGATAGATAGATTTAAAAACCGTTAAAAAGTACAAGGATCTCCCCTACAATAGTTTTTAAAAACATTCTTTTATATACTCCTTATAAAATTGATGCTGTATACAAGAAATAGGTAATTTACCAGTCATTTGGTAATCCTTCTTATCTTCGTGATCGCTTAATACCCTTTAACTATTTTTAATTGTGATTTTTTTTCCTAAAACGCCGTCTTTTATTCCGATCCAGTTTATCCGTAAAATCCAGCAAATTTCTGGAAACATAACTCAAACCCGACCGTAGGCAGATGACAGGATAATAGAGCTATGCCAGCCCCAGCGTTTTCACAGCTCCTGCGCCCTTTGGACGAGCCTCCCCCGCTTTCAGCTTATATAAAACAGACGCCGTCAAGATGGGACGTGTAAGTTGAACGTGTTGATATCTGAATCAACAGTTGAAAAAATATATAATTTGTAGTTTTTCTTTATTTATACAATATGAGTAAATATCTAGCCCTGAATTTTGTTTTTGGAGTGGTTGTGTTCTTCATCGGAATATGTAAGGTGAGTCGACTTTTTTTCATTTTTATACTATCAACAAGTATATGCACGTGGCGAACTTTGTATTAGAATATACAGATGTCTGTAGTGTCAATGAACCAGTACACATATTTTTCGCTATAAGAAAATTAAATATTTTTATATTTAACAAAGGAATAAAAATGATTTTGAAATTGAAATTTACTAATATTTAACTAAATAGTAAAAATATTTCTTTCACAATTAAAATTTAAGTTTTTAGATCTTATTTATCTCTTTCTATATAGTTCTTCCTATTATTGTAATAAGTAATATTTTTAAATTATTTTTTAAAAAATGTTATTCATTTTTTTGGTTTTTTATTTGTTTACTTAATAATTTTTAATACTCTTCTATATTTCAAATATTCAAAGTGATAATTTGAAATCTTCCCACCGCTAATTTCTTTTTTTTTTATATTTTAATAACGCATCAACCAAGCAGGGTCATTAGCGTATTTAGATTAATGTTACGGTTGCGGGTTGATACAATTAGTGTATACAGTGTGGTCCTTAAGTAATTGTACAAAAAGAAACCGTAGATTCTACTCTTTAAAATATTACGATTTAAGCTAAATTGCTTTAATAAAATAGTGATATTAAGAAAGATACAGGGTGTTAAATTGGACATTTAAAATTTTAATTTTCGCTATAACTTTCATATTTGTGAATATTTATGTATAAAAATTTATAATTGGGTACTACTGAATATTAGGAATTATAATTTGATGCATACTTTAATGTATCTGATAGAGGGAGTCACATATACTACATATGTGGCACACATTTGCACTTAACTTTTTTGATCTTTAAATTACCGGTGTTTGTGATAAAAAATATTAAAGATAAATTATTTAAACAAAAAAAAAGGTATACTTGTTAATAACTTCAAAACTCGACAGTTTTAGAGATAATCGTATTTTACAAATCAACTACATAATTCTGATTTAACGCAATTACTCCAGGCAACGAAAGAAAATTAGACAAAAACATCAATACTTCTGAATTTTCGTATATAAAATGCCTTTAGTAAAGTTAATAGTTAACGAAATATTAAATAAAATAAATATATTAGCAGTATAGTTAATAGTAGAATTTGACAAAATAACAGAATAAATGGATTTTATATCAAACATTTTAAGTTTTGTATTAAATTGGGGTCATAATCAAACTATTTTATTTACAAACCAAATTAAGAAATATTTTTTTTTAGCTTTTGCTCTTAAACGACAAATGCATTTTTGTTGAAGTCACGTACGAAATAAAATGAATTGGTTATTATATAAATACACATACAGGGTGCTCCTTAAGTAATTGTACAAAAAGAAACTGTAGATTCTACACTTTAAAATATTACGATTTAAGGCAAATTGCTTTAATAAAATGTTGATATTAAGAAAGATACAGGGTGCTAAAGTGGAAATTTAAAATTTTAATTTTCGCTATACCTTTTATGTTTGTAAACATTTATGTATAAATATGTATAACTGGGTACTATTGAATATCAGGAAGTATAAGTTGATGCATACTTTAATGTAGATGATAAAGGGCGCCATCTATGCCACATTTGTACATACATTTGCACTTAACTTTTTAGCTCTTTAAGTTAACGGTGTTTGTGATAAAAACTATTAAAGATACATTATTTTAACAAAAAAAAAGTATACTTGTTAATAACTTCAAAACTATTCAACTACAGAATTCTGATTTAACGCAATTACTCCAGGCAACGATAGAAAAATAGACAAAAACATCAATACTTCTGAATTTTGGTATAAAATTTCTTTAATAAAGTAAATAGTTAACGAAATATTAAATAAAATAAATATATCAGCAGCATAGTTAATAGTAGGATTTGACAAAATAACAGAATAATTGGTTTTGCATTATAAGAAGAAAATCCACCCGCAAAGAGCTAAGGGAAGGTTCAGTCTCGAAGCTATTAGACTTTTTAAAAAGGGTCAGGCTAGAGAATGTTATCTAGGACTAGAGGAGCACAATAGATTTCAAAAGATCGCAGTGGAATAGGCCAAAAGACCACCTCTCTAAATCTGCTCTGCGAGCTACAATTTTATAGAGATAATGTAGTCAAATCTCAGTGCTTTATGAATTTTTCTGTATATACCAATGATCAAATATCTTTCACTTTAAGTATTTTACAAACCTTTAACATTCCAATCAATATATTCTATTTCAACCGTGCTCTCAGTGCTTTATGTGATTCTAAATACACTAACTGTCTACAATTTATTCTTCTCAATATTTATGTTACACTATTTTGATTATTACGTGGTTCTACTCGTATCTATATACTGGTATTTTTGATTTATCTTAAAACTTACTGATTCCGAACGCAACAAAGACGGAGAAGTCACCTTAAAAAATAACAAAATTAGAAATAACCAAGTGCATTTAAGTTGAATGTTAGCTATTTTTTTAATTAAAGCAAAGTTACCGCACTCATCAACATATTATTAGCTGCGTTACTTTGTAAACAAAACGTAAAGTTAATAAAAAACGGTAAGTTAAGTAAAGAATATTGGTTGATCTGAGATTATTTAATAAGTTTTTTACAGGACAGTTATCTCCTAATAGATCTGATAGAGTATTAGGTAAATTGTTTATTGAACATTCTCTTTGGTATTTTGGACACTCAATTAACTAATGGATAACGGTAAGAGGTATAGCACATAGGTCGCACAAGGGGCGTTCATAGCCAAATCTAGGTATGAGGGTATGATCTCAGTGCGTTAGAACCGTTAAAATAAACCGTGTACTATCACTAGTTTTCTTCCATTTTCGTGTATCTGATTTTCGTGATCTTATATTGGATTGTGACAGAAACCATTCGCACTGCCACGAATTAATAATTTTTTTTTACGATTTTTAAAAAGAGTTTGAAGTTTTTTTCTAATTCAATAATTCAGATTTCACACTTGTTGCTGCATGAAGAGCACTTCTGACTGCCTCTTTTTGCCGATAATTTCTATATGCGATTTCTCCCATTTGGCATTCTTTTTTAGTTCTTACTTTTGTATTATTACACCCATAAGAAGGTTGAGCAATAAGGGATTTAGGGAATCTTATTGTCTTATCCCATTGCCAGCTTATATATAATCAGTTCGTTTTTGTTCTACTTTTACTTTTATTATGTTGTTTTTGTAGATATTTTCGATCGTTTTGATTATTCCTAAAGGTATCTCTCTTGCGTACAATAAGTGTATAACGTCCTTATGCTGGTTTATTGTAATATATTGATTCCTCTTACACTTGTCTCATTATAAAAATAGAGTCGGTGCATGGTCTTCCGTACCTATATCCTTGTTATTCTTCTGCTAGTGTTATAATTTCATTCAGTTTATTTGTTATCGATTTGGTTGTAAATTTTATTGTTGTGTTTATGAAATTCATTCTTCTGTATTTCTGATCCTATTTGACTCCTTTTTTGAAAAAAGTTCTTAGGATTTTTGATCTCCATTTTTAAAGAATTGTTCTATTACTTTTTAAATTAGTTTTATTAGTTGTTTGGTCAGATCTGGTCTTCTGTACTTTAGGAGTTCGTTCAGTATTCTATTCTCTCCTAGTGATTTTCTTTTTTTTTTAATTTCCTTAATGCTTCCGTTACCTCTTCCTCCTCAATATTTATTTTTTTGTTTGTCGTCACCTCTTTAGCACCAACTTTAGCAAATAGGAGAATCGAAAGGAGTTTGTCCATGTTTTCTTCTAAATGTGTTTCGTTTTATTAGTTCTTTTATCTCCTTTCTTTAACCTTTGATTGTACTTTATCTTTTTTTTGTGTTCAGTAGAAGTCGTGTTCCATCTGTTTTGAAAAGTTCTGCCAGTGTTTGCTTTTATTTGTCTAACTAAAGTATTCGTTTTATTTCTGATTCGTTTATAGTGGCTGTATACCTATTGTGTTCGTTGTGTTCGGTATAATAAAAAGCTTTCTTCTTCACTTTACATTTTGTCTTTAATTCCTCTCTAAACCACGGGGTTTACGTTTTTGATGTTAAGTGTTCGTTACTTTCCTCTCTCCAGGTGATTTTGTCTTGAGATTATTGATCAAGGTTTTGGCTGGTCATATCATTGATAAAATTGATCATTCTAAAAGTTTAGTTGTCTTCGTTAAAGTTCTTGAAGATTTTGTATTAGAAATGGTCTTTCTTAAATAAAGTGTCGGTTTCTGAAGAAATAACCTATGTAAAGCATTTTAAATGAATTTTTTGCTCTGTTTGATGATGAAAATATAATTTCTTTTCTTTAGATAGTAACATTCCAGCTGAGCTAGTGGCTCTGATAAGGAAAACGATTTGCTATAGCTATAGTTGTAGTATTAGAAAATGCAGAATTCTCTGGAGTTTCTTGTATCGCAGATATAACAGGTTTCTTATATTTAAATCAGATGTTTCCATCTTGTATATTGCATAGTTTGTACAGGGTGAGTCATATCTATTGGGACATAGACTAAGGACAGGTTATTTGGGCCAAAATATGGCTATTGGGCCAAATATGCCTTAATAAAATGTTGCTGAGAAAAAAGATACAGGGTGTTAAAGTGGAAATTTAAAATTTTATTTTTGGCTATAACTTTCATGTTTGTACACATTTATATATAAAAATTTACAGCTGAGTACTATTGAATATCAGAAATTATAATTTGATGCATAATTTAATATATCTAATAGAGGGCGCCACATATGTCACATACGTGGCATACATTTACACTTTACTTTTTTGTTCTTTAAGTTACCGGTATTCTTGATAAAAAATATTAAAGATACATTATTTTAACAAGAAAAATGTATACTCGTTAATAACTTCAAAACTCAACAGTTTTCGAGATAATCGAATTTTAATAATGCACTGCATAATTCTGATTTAACGCAATTACTCCAGGCAAAGAAAGAAAAATAGATAAAAACATCAATAATTTTGAATTTTGTTATAAAATACCTTTAATAAAGTCAACAGTTAACAAAATAATAT